CCACCCATCCCACCCCAGGGGAGGACATCCATCACACAGTAATCTCGTGCGTGGGAAATTAACGTCTCCTGCCCCTAACCCTGCAGGAGACGGGACCTCCATTTATTCGTCCCTATCCGAGAAGACTAGAATATCTAACCATTTCTTGATGTTAAAGAAAGGAAGCATATTCTTCTCAGTTAATTTTAAGACCCTGAGTGTTGGTCCGGCCGGTATTGAACTCTCGACCTCCCGCACAGCAGTCCGGCGCTCTCCCAATTGAGCTAACCAGGCGGCGGTTAAAGGTGGGCGCCCTCCAACATGTACAAAACACAAAACATTAACAGGCCCGAAAAGACACGCCACAACACAACTAAACGTAGGCCTAGAAATTCATCACTCTAGGTAAGACAATATGGTAATTAGCAATTACAAACGACAAAACAAAAACAAAAACAAAAAACAAAAAACTAAATTATTTACCCTAATTACAATAATACGATAAAACTAAATTGCTGAATTATTTACCTTAATTACTTTACAAGAATTTACAAATCCTTCATTATATACGGACGCAAAGTGCGAGAAAAAAGGGAAGAAAACTAGTGAATATAGAGAATAAAGATTAATTACACAAGTAAAAGATGCGAATTACGTGATAGATACAAATAACTCACACTAGACATATTCTAAGAAAGTAAAAAAATGCATTATATAATCCTAAGTTAATTCTTTTGAATGCTTTAATGACACCGCACTAGCAGTCAAAACTAGCATTGTCCCGACAATGTTATACAATGTTATACAATGTTATTTTTCTCTTCTGTTGCATCCGCGCTAAAATGTCGCAGCTGTTTAAGCTGTTAAATTCGGAACTGCCAAAAAAAAGACCGATACTATATTTCATTGTAATTAATTTAAAGTAGCTTTTCTTTTCCGTTGCTTTGAGTGGGAACTTCGGATCTCGTTCCACCTCTACACTTCATAAACTTCCAATGGTGCTGCGCGCCAGGTCTAAAAATAGATATGTCATCTTTGGACTCCCCGCTGGTTTAGGACAGGGTGAATTTTAATCTAATATATTGATCACCTATCCAAACTCATATGATGGCTAAGTTCCTTCAGTACTGTGGTTAAAATTTTGGCGTGAAGGTGAATCAATATGTAAAAAGAAACATTTTCAAAACTTTTAGCTATAAATTATCCCATATTCAAGCAAGCGTATCTGTAAGGGTTTTTTTCCGTGCGTGTGATTAACGCTTCGGTTACCAATTAATCAAAACTATGACGTTGGTGTTATCTTAGCAATTGGGATAAGTCTATAATAACTATCTAACTTTAGAAAAGCCATACTTCAATGCATTGAGTCGATAATTAATGATACACGCGCTCAGTGTTTTGCGAATACGTTCGAATTAAAGCAAAGCCTTATTCAATAACATCCCAATTTAAGTATTTTGCAGCATAAGTCCAGAAAATACCGTTTACCTATTTTTTGCCGACGCTCCCATTTTCGAGCGAAACATCTACGTTTGTGACTTCGACTTGACGCCAAACTTCGCAAAGTCCTGCGCGATCACATGATTTCCCAACAACGTGCTCATCACAAACTTTATTCGTCGGGAAATATATATACATGTATGTTTACAACGAGAATTGGACTCCACTCGGTCCCGTATTACCATTACTTATTTCATGCTCAGCCATTTTACCGTTACCATGTTATGTAACAGTGATGTAAGAGAATTTACAATGATTATACTCAAATTATTGGAAAACCTGGTTATATTTGTCTCTCTTTCTTTTGTTTGTCTATTTATCGATCGATGAACTGAAAATTTTAATCCTAAAGCCCCGTATAACAACTATGGCATATAAAACAACAATTAGAAGAGATTAAAGAATTCAAAAGAAAAGTTTAAGTTACACTAAGTAAGTTTCCGGCTTCAGATGTCCACTAACAACGTTCTCTTAATTTCTTCCTCTTTTCAGGACCTGAACAGGAAAAAAAGAAGAAAAAACCGTTTAACCAAGATTTTTCCTTCAAAGAATCGGTGACTGTTATAGAACGAGCAATTCTAAGGGAGAGAATTTTTGTTTTACAACCTTAGCTAGTTGGTAAAGTTAAATTTGCTACGCATACAGAGACTTCGAGCGAATAAATACAAAACAGCAGCCATTACTCAAACCTACCATTCATCATGTTCGGTTGGAAAATTTCATTTTGGTCGGATATTGTGATTTTCACTCTCTCCTGCCCATGTCCTCTGTCCGTTTCTGTTCAACTCCCATCTTCTTACAGATCCACGAAGTTCATTCTCCTCCGCCGGTTTCCTCGTGGACAAAGATCGTTCCATTTTGATCAGGAAAAACAAGATGATCAACAGCACAATCACAGAGAGTATGCTAGCAAATTGGTGAATCTGAAGCATGGTTGTCCAAATGAATTCCTTCCAAGAGGCCGGCTGGCAGAGACGATGCAATCTTTATGTTGTCTGAACTGAGCGTTTGTTTTGTGCTTAGGTAGGAGTTCAAGTGAGTTTTAATCTGGATCGTTAAAAATTAATGACAAAATTAATAACAAAGCAATGACAAACTCGAGCTCAAATGGAGCATGAAGAACGACGTTACGTCTATCCGTAGACTCTTTCATGCATGTCCCCTAGTCGTTTCTGTTTTCTTTGTTTTGACAAATTTTATGCCGCCTTTTGTGTTTCCATCGCCAAAATAGTAGTTCGTATTCTATTATTTTCATGCGCGGGATTGATGCGGGCAATCCTGAGCGGGCAAGATGGGCCCGTCTTGCCCACTCGGGTTGCCAATCAGAACACAGGATCCGCTTCATTTTTCCCACGGGTGCTGCGAGCGATGTAATAAATTTGAGTAAAACAGTTTTTCAAACATCTCCCGCACCAAGCATCGCACAGAACTTGAATCTTTGCGAGACTGTTGAAATATTTATCTTCTTTTATCGCTTTAATTCTTGGCTGATTCTTGGTAGCTAAAGATAGTATGACTATTATCATTTACTTGTTGCGAGCTTCAGACTTTTAGTTTCTATGGAAAGAAGATAACAAGCTAGTATACAAATTTCACCACTTTACATGTGATCTCCTTTCTTTTTGGTTGAGAATCTAAATCAGTGACGTCATTGAAGCTCGTTAATTTTGATTGACAGTTAATATTGAAAGAGGATCTTGTAGTAGTCTATGCCTAATCTGGGACTGATAGGAAATATCTCTGTCTTAAAATGTTTTAAGGTAACTTTATCTTACATTAATATTAAAAAGTAACGAAAGCCCGACAAATTTATCCCCTTTACTACAATCAATCAAACTTACGAGATTAATCATTTTATAAGTTCTCCTAGTTTTTGGGCACTTGTATTCAAGAGAGGAATTTGACATAATCATTAGAGAACTGTAAAAGAAGGTAAGGAAAAAGACGCAAACGAGAATTTCCCTCCTCACCCCCTTTCCACCTTCCCGACTCCTCCCTTTTGCTTGAATTTCGGATTTATTTGCATTTGCAGTAAATGGTTTGAACCCGGGGGTAACATGTGAAAGTGTAGTGTGATCATTCGGGTGAGTGTAGTCCTGAGAAGGACTGTTGTCGGTGGTGGAGATTAACGTTTCGACAAGCTCAGTGCGGAAGACATATTATCAGAGGCCAGTGAATAGTTGTTGTCAGTAGAATATTCTTAGTGTAGTCTATCGTGTAAAATAATTGGTCTGTTTTGCCGTGATGTTATTTGCTGTAAGACTCGAGTGGCATAAGTCCGTCGTGATCGGTCAGTTTCGATTTGTCGGTAAAGTTAGGGCATTCTGTCCGGTTCGTTTGTAATATTAATGTCGTGAATGCGTCGTTTGTATGGAGCCGGTAGTAGTTAACACCTGTTTAGGGGAGTCTGTTCTAAGTTAGTAAACCAGCTTTCCGGAGTCAGTCGTTGAAATTGGTTAGTGCTCTAGGTTAGGCATTGCGCAGAGTCCCAGCCAATATTGTAGTTCGCAAATCGATGATGTTCAGCAATGGGATTGTTGACATCACCTTTCCTCGTCGCCCGTCTGTGTTCAATAAGTCTTGTTGCGAGGTTTCTGCCAGTCCCTCCAATGAAGGAGGCTTGGCAGTCAGAGCAGTTGATCTTATAAATCGCACGTCTGTTCCTCGGTTTGTCCGTGTCTTTAACGTTGGTTAGTAACTGACGTTGTGTGGACTAAGAACATTCTACTAACAAAAACTATTCACTTGACTCTGATGATGACTTCTGCACTGGTTGTCGAAACGTCAGTCACTAGCACCGACAACAGTCCTTCTCAGGACCACACCCACCTGGACGATTACACTACACTTTGTATTATTTGCATTTATTTGCATTTATTTTTTCCCCTATTTCAACAAATCAGAGTCTGATAAATAATTACAAGATAAGAGGATGGAAGAGGGCACAATATAGCAAGCTTATTAGATGCCCTTTACTTTAAATTTCATTTTTTCATGCAGTAAAAAGTAGCGATACAAATATAAGCTACAAATATTGATATAAGTTACAAATGTAACTTCCGCATAGTTTAGTTCCGGGTTCCGCCATGTTGAAAACTATATTCTGAGAGGTCCTAGGGATGAATTTGTGAAATCAACATGGCGGCTTGTATTTATTTATTCCTGAATTATTCCTGAATTATTCCAGCGAAGTATGGAAAGTATTCTAGCTTACGACAGTGATTCATCGTCTGAAGGGAGCGATGAGTCTCCAAATAAGAAACAAAAGGTTACAGAATCTGATGACATCAAAGTTTGCGAGGGAAACAATAGAAAAACTGAAAAGTTAGAATCTTCCATCAAGCCTGCAGTGCAAGTTAGATTACTTTCAAGTAACCTTTCCGAATCAAAACAGATCGCAAATACCTCTTATTTATCCGAAATTACTCAAAATGATTTCTCTGACCGTTTAATTGATGATAAACACGAAACACATTCGCGAGATTTTTTCCGGACTAGTGCTGATAAGAATGCGAAATCTCCGGCATTGTTCAATTCAGCAAACCAGAAAACGATGTCATCTTCAAACATGACAGGACCAAATGTTAAACCTTACGTGTCCAAGAGACAAAGAGAAAGATTGGCTCAAGAAAAGTCCTTAAGTATTATGGCGAATCAACCGTCACAAGAGACTGATTTAACCTTGACAAATGGCTCATTTAAAGGAGCAGATTATCACCCAGATAAAAATGAATTTTCAAACCGTAAGGACACAGATCAAGTATACAGACCATCAAAGAAGTTGCATTTAAATCTTAAAGGTCACACAAAGGGTGTAAACTGTGTCAGATGGAATGTTACAGAAAGTTATCATCATTTGTTGTTGTCTGCATCTATGGATCATACAGTTTGTGTTTGGGACACACGGGAAGGTGGAGCTTGTATGCAAAGTTTGGCAAATCATACTGAAGCAGTGAAAGATGCTAAATGGAGTCATTGTGGGTCACAAGTATTGAGTTGTGGTTATGACAAAAGTGCAAGACTCTTTGATGTAGAAACAGGTATTTGAAACGTTGCGGGTGTATAAAGTTGTCAATGCATGTATTTTCTCTACATTATGAAAAAATTAAGCAAGACAAAGGTGATGAGGTGAGACAAACACAACTTAGATGGAGAGTATTATCTTGATTTAATGTTATAATTATACTCAGCAGTGGTGCAGCATTTGGAACTGGGTGTGTGTAATATTTGGGGGGAGGGGAATTCATCTTGTATACTAAGCCAAGTACAAATCCTCACTCAAATTTTCCAATAAACTTTTAATATCTGGTTCTTGAACACAGGCTGGTGATGTTCAAATGAGAAATGTCCTAGTACATATAATTTCTCCAAACATGATCCTGATAAAAAGATTTGAAAAGATTTCCAGACTGAATATTTTGGCAAATTAATTTTATGCTTTGCTAGTTGAATCATGATTGTGGGCCCTGAAACATGGGGGGGGGGGCTGAGAACCCCATCAGATATTTGCTTGGAAAAGCTGGAGCCCTTCCTGCCCCTGTTCATTTTGTATTTCAAGGGTTTTTCTTTTATCAGTTTGATTGTGAAATGACAGTGTCGGCTGTTTGCAGGGCCAAATGATGATTTGTTTAGTGTTTATTCTAGATTTTCAGGTCCTGTGCTTAAATTGTGTTGATGTATGCTACTTTTTATTTTGACAGGACAGGTAATCAAAGTGTTTCCACACAAAAATTATGTGACTTGTGTCCAGTTTCATCCTAGTCACCCAGCTCTTTTTTTAGCTGGAACTTTTAAATCTTCCATCCTATGTTGGGACAAAAGGACAGGAAGTGTAAGTGCACAGTTACCATAGTTACTGGATTGATGTTTGAGCCCGCCGGCCTGGCTAT